TTAGAAATGCTATCAAACCAGGTTATATGTGAGCTATGACATGTTATCTAAGGACTAGCATCATTGAAAACTTCACCTTTTGGTAAAAGAAAATAAAGTTTCTAAAATTAGCTTAGTGGTCACATTAGCTGCCCAGGTGCACCAATACTTTGGAAATGATGTCATCAGTACCCAGAGCCCCTCACTAGTCACATGACTGAATCAGGATGTTCGGTAGATGTCACTTAGGGACTTCATGAGATAAAAGTCAATGTTAAAGAAACTTTTCTCAAGTTTGAAAGAGGCGGTGACACCATGGGTCCTTAAAGAAAACATTCACAGCAACACAATTTATTCTAAGTTTAATTACAGACATTATTTACTCAGATGATCCTGTTTAGAGCAAATAACTTGCTTTTTTAATTTGCATTCAATAATTAATTATCTATGCAAAAGGGACTTATGCATGTGTGTTCATTAGTCTACAGTGTTAGCAAAATATCTCATGAACTAGAATGGATTTTAATGAAACTCTCAGAAAGTAGCCATAGGATGTACATCTGCAACATTTGGATTAAAATCGCTCGAAATGCGTTCCACCGCTAAGCAACCTTAGCAAACACACATGCTAGAAGTCGGTCAGATTTACAGATACTGAGCTGAAATTCAGTGTGGTAGTAGCTGAGAGTCATTCCCACACACACTTTGAGTGCAAACAGATTGGGTGAGATGTGCTTTCAAAACTTTTCCATTAACTATTTGACTCTGTCTATTAGCAAAATGTCTCGTGTGTGTGACGGGACAGATTTCATTTAAACTTTCAGGAAGTAATCGGTGAATGAACATCTACAACTGATTTAATTTTGGAGTCAGTCCAAGTCAAGATGGTCGCCACAGTCTCACAAAATAGCTGTAACTTGGCCAGTTCTAAAGATATGGAGCTAAAAACTGATGTGGTAGTAGCTGAGCATCATCCCCGACTTGTACTCTGAGCACTAGATGTTATGCAACGTCTTCACTGCCTTGTCTTTCTGTAAGTAAATTATCTTATGAGCCATTGGCTAGATTTTAATGGCATTTTCAGAGTAATCATTTGATGACTTTTTGCATTAACTCGGCCATTTTACATACGAGCTCAATATTTATATAGCTGAGAGTTATCCTAATGATGATGATGCCAATTAGCACATGAATGCTAATACTTCTCACAAGATCTCACAACATTGCAGATGGCGAGCCTCCCATCATTTACAAGGTTTGACAGAAACTATTTTACTCTGTCCTTTCTCAGCTGAAGATATTTTAGTTAAATCTCTGGCTTGAAAGGCGGTGGGCAATGAGCATCTCTTCAAGGGATGCGTGCCTTTTAACTACAGGATGAATGTAACGCAGTATCATTTCATTTTGTCTCGGATGTTGCTTCAGGCTGGCACATGCAACTTGTTCAGCTGTTGTTTAACAAAACGTGACAGCTGATCGTTGGAGAAATTTCTCGTTTTTCAGAGACATCGAGGATAAGCACAAGCTGATCTCCAAAACGGAGGCCAGGTGGCGCTACCTGCTGAAGAACTGCGACTTCGACAAGAGAGATCCTCCTCTCACGTTCATCCTGAGGAAAAACCCCCACAACACCCGCTGGGGCGACATGAAGCTCTACCTCCAGATGCAGGTGCACATCTGTCGCATGTATTCCCCCCCCCCCACAGCAGAAAATGTCAAATGTTTCTGTGGCACTTAAACAGAATGCACATTGTGCGGTGGTTGATTTGTTTTAATTTCACATACAGAAACTGGGTTTTGTTTTATTGCAAGTGTATTAAACAGGCCCAAGTTAACAAGGACAAGTTTTGACCTCACAACATACATTTTTGCATTACAGTAGTCCCTCGTTTATTGCGGGGGTTATGTTCCGGACATCCCCCCAAAAAATCCACAAAGTAGCAGCATGATATTTATTTCAGTATTTATATATTTTAAGGCTTTATAAACCCTCCCCTCACTCTTACAATGTTCTAAACTCTTATACCTAGTAATTTTAACAACATACTTAAATGTAGCGACTAAATTTTACTCACCAGCTCGGCAGAACAGCAGCAGCTCGATTCCGCTCCGACTTGGTTCCGTTTCGGCGGACCTACCTTGCCGGTTCTGGACGGCTCGCTGGCTCGGGGTAGTGGCGGTGGGCTCCAGAGATGGCAGTGTGTCCTCCGCTCAGAAGCCCTCGTGGGCTGGCTAGCAGCTCTTGGGTTTGCAATGGGTCTGGGGGTATGGTTCTGGTCTGGTTCTGTGCAGCCCTTGAGCGCCAAGGAGTGGGGGGATGTACCTTAGGGTGGCCAGCGTGGGACCTGTGGTCTGATTGAGCGATCCAATAGACAGATGAAAAAATGCTAGACCTACGGCAACACGCGTCCCCGCTCGGAAGTCCTCATGGGCCGGCTGGCAGCTCTCGGGTTCACCAATGGGTCTGGGGGTCCAGTTCCTGGTGGGTTCCATGCAGCACTTTGCATCCGCTGGCCACCAAAGGCACTGTAAAGGACCAAACTTTTTCTGATCAGATCAAAACTTTCCTCTAGTATTTCAACAGTTCAGGCAACAGGGCTTCTGGGCGGGGCACTGTTGTCTTCTGGGTAATGTAGTCGTTACGAGCAGCGATACAGTATAGGCTTATTGAAAGAAAACTACAAAATGGTGGTGCCTGTCTGAAGTATTTTGTTTTTTCGTAAACGTTTTACTGTACCGTATCCTGTAGTGTTCCAATCACGTGAGTAAAATTAAAGTTGACAATCGTGTGTCGTGTACAATAACTTTTTTCCCATCGTATTCAATCTTACTTTGAAAACCCGCGAAAGTCAAACCGCGACGTAGCGAGGGACTATTGTATTTTAAACAGTTTATGCCACATGCTCCTCATCAAGAAGTGTGATGTGAAACTTGATAAATCAACTTGTTTTGCTCTAAATCTGGGAAGTTTTATGTTTCAATCTGTTGCATATCATCTGTTAATTTGCTCACAGAATTAAAAAAATGTATTAATTTGGTTTGTGTGTATATGTGTATGAACCCAAGGTAGTAGAAAGAAGTTTAGAGGTTTGGGGTTCAGAAGAGGCGCTGGAGGAGGCCAGAGAGAGGAGGGAAGGAAACAAAGAGGCACAGAAACAAAAGCGCTTCAACAAGAAGGTCAAAGGTTAGTTTTCTGTTTGAGGAAATCGTTTTCAGTGCAGACCACACTGTGCGACGTTAAGTGTGTGTGTGTCTCTGACAGAGTTGCGCAGGGCGGTGAGGAGCAGCGTGTGGACCAAAAACACCAGCGTTCACCAGCATGAGTACGGACCAGAAGAGGTGGTGGACCCAGAGGAGGACCTTTATAAGAAAAAGTGCACCACCTGTGGGCATGAACTTACCTATGAGAAGATGTAACACACACAGTTGTAAACTCTGGTCAGGTGGAACAAAATGTGTGGTGCTTCTCCTTGAGAGCAGAGGGATTCAGACAATGTGATTTCAAACATCTTTAGAAAAAAAAAAAAGCTTTTTTTATATCAAAATAATTTAAAATGGAAAAGTTTTGAGCAAAAAATAAAAGTTTTTGAAAAACGCGATAAGATAAATTGTACCTCATACACTGACATTGTTCACTTATTTTGCTGCAGATTGTCAACAATGAAGCCTTTAAAAACCTTTATGTCCACTTAGAAGTGTTTCCCTGTCTGCTTGGCGTTTTTGACAGTTTCTCACTGAATAGCCATTTTTTATGTCTCTTTAAAGAAATATGTAATTGAACATGTCTTGAATTCGTGTTGTAGTATTCTTTTGCAATTGATGTACTTCCAACCAGATGCCAGTACATGAATTATTTATTTTTACTCAGTTATTGAGATCATATTTTTTTTTCTGGCATGAGCTGCTTTTTAGGGAATTTTAGGGGTTAATGTCAAGGAAAAATCAAATTCTTCATGCTTTATAGTGAGTCATCAAAAAAATCAAAAAAATCTGTGTTTCCATCAGTTATCTTTACCCACCTCTTCCTGTCCTTCATCACTGGTGCCCATGTCCAGGTTGGCTCGATTGACTCAGTGCAGTGTGAATGCAAACCGCACCAGCTGAAAATGTAAACAAATGTTCTGAATTTTGTTTCACAATTGAACCGAGTCTACCGGACTATCAGGTGTGAAAACAACCATAGACAAAAGAGGCAACCATTCACCCTCACTCAGCGTTGTTGAATCATTCTGTTGAGCAGGTGGTGTCGTCCAGTCCCTGTCCTGAGAAAAAAAAAACAACCTGTAACTTGGTCATGTGACACAACAAAAGCCATTCTCTTCAGCTTTCACCATTTTGCTACCTTCGTTGTTTTTTTAGGGGTGCAACAGTAAGCCTTAGAGGCTTGACATCTGGGATGTTGAATAAATACAGTGATGGACTTGCAAAGCGTTGTCCCCTCTGCATCACAGAGATGCTGCGGGGCTTTTCACACACTGATTTGAATCAAGTTCCTCTTCAGGCTTCTGTGCATTTTTCTGAACCGGCTATGATTAGTGTCGAGTCTTTAGATTGTGTTTTTCTCTGCTTCTTTTCAGTTGGGGCTGTTAGCAAAATGCAGTTAATAAAATGTGTAATAGTTCACTGTACCTGTTCAAAATATCCGTACTGAACTGTTACCTACGATGCATGAATGTTACAGAACTGGCTCCTCTATTGGCAGAGGCAGCGCCGCAGTAAGACCGAACCATCACCAGGTTTTAGTGTCAATAGGCTTCTTCTTTTTGTCTGCTTCATTTTCACTGTATTCTTAAATCATGTTAGATTCCTTTCTCCTTGCAGAGATTGATTTATCCAAAACAAAATGTAAGTCTTGCCTTCTTTCTGTCAATTATGCTGTTTTTGGCCTAGAGAATTATTAATGCTCATGTTCTGTAAACAAGATTTATTTATTTTCCATAATTTCTCTGTTTGAAGACTAATCTGTTATTCAGTGACTTGAGATTTTCAGTTTATGGAAAAAATGTTTTGAGTTTTTTTTTTTTTGTGTCCATCTATTACTACACTTCCTGATGAGGTTTTACTGTCAAATTTTCACAAAGGAAGGAAGTCCAGGTAACTGTTGAAACTTTAAAAACACAGCCTTGCATAAAGGTCTTTGAAATTAGTTGGTGTTTTAAAACAACTTAGCAAAATGGCAAAAAATAAAAGTATGGGTCAGATTTATTGCGCATCCTTAATCTTACAGGTTTTTTCTTACATTATTTATAGCATCTTAAAAAGATAAATATATTTCCATAGTATTGCTCATTTTATATTAACTTACGAGTTGCCGCCAAAGAAATTAATCTTAAATATTTTTCAACCGAGTTGAAGCCGTTTTCATGTGTCTGAATTGTTCAGGTGTGTGGGATTCAATGTTGAAAGATGGCCTTTATTAAAAAAAAAAAATGTTTGAGAGCAGCTAAGACTTTTTGCAGTCCACTGGTGAACTTGATAAATTGTTTTTGTTTTGATAGACTTTTTAATATAAAAATTAGCTTTAAATGCTTTGAATGTTGGTTACAGTTTCTGTATGATTTAAAAGGTCTGAGATTTATTGCAATAAAGTTTAAAATTTGAAGTTTTTTTTTCTTTGCCTGTTCAAGCTCACTGCTAGGTTAATAGACTAAAAAAAATAACATTAGTTAAAAGCTATTAACAGCACAATGGTTCTTGTTATTTCACTGTCAGTATGATGTACCACAAGGCTCAGTCTTAGGACCCTCTCTCTTTACAATCCATATAAGTAATGTAGGTCAGAACATTCCTGACATCCTCACATTTCTATGCCGACAATACAGTTGTTTGTCAAGCTAAATCAGTTGCTAAGGTTTTTGCAGCTTTTACAGTCTGCATTCGACATCATTTGGTTACAGTAGATTTGTTCCATTTCTGGTGCTAAGTGCTGATAAAACCAAAGAGATAATGTTTTCAAACAAAATTGGTGCCAGCAGTCCTTCCTCCTATCTTATCTACCGGTACAAATGGTGTTCCTATTGAGTTCCTATTCTTGCAAATACTTGGGAATCTTGTTTGATGCATCTCTCTCTCTTAAGCTGTGTGTCAAAACCTGGATAAACTGAAATTAAAATTGGGTTTCTTTTTCAGAAATGGATCTTGCTTAACTCTGAATGCTTGGAAACTCCTTGTATCTGCTACTTTCCTACTGGTCATTGGTTATAATATTTACATGAATGCTCTTGCCAGCACCTTGCAGATGTTAGACACCATCTGTCACGGTGCACTAAGATTCATAACTGGTTGTAACTACCGTACCCATCACTGCACTGTACTCTTTGGTCAACTGGTCATTATGTGTAGGCTCTCACACTGGTTCACTTTCAGTTTTAAATCTCTCCTTGGTCAGCTGTCTTCATACATCTCCTACAGTACATGTCATGTCGTCAGTGCAGTTGCAGCGTGTTCTCAAGCCATCATTACCTGCAGTGTTCCCTCAGTGCGGACTGAACTTGGCAAAAAGGTCTTTTCTTTCTCTGCTCCTGTAACTTGGAACGCCTTGCAAAAAAAACAAAAAACTAAAGCTGTCGACTTTGATCTCTCCAAGGGATATTAAACAGCTGTTAAGTTCAGTGATGAAAAAAGTCAACGCAGACATGTTCCAGTTTTTAGTATTTTACCGTTTTATATTGTAGCTTGATTTTATTGTTTTATATCACTACTTTTATTTACTTTTTATTTTATATGCATTTAATGGCTGTTAATTGTTGACTGTACCTTATCTGTGGTTTGTCTAAAACACTTGTAAATGAGTTCTTGTGACTCAATGAGACCAACCTGTATAAATAAAGGTTGAATGAATAAGCAACGAGGCAGGGTAAGAGCTAAAAGCATTATTAAGCAAATACTTTTGAAGGAATTCAAGAGATCAGTATTTCTATAGGGAATTTATTTAAAAATGTTCATAAAAGTACAAAAATCAAATCTGAATTAGCTAAACATTTTGATAGAGGCATAGCTAAAGTAGCAGAAAGTATTCAGGGTTCGGTAGAAAAATGTACGAGAAAGTAAAAACAGGAAAATAAATAGTGTGAATGCTGAATCAGAATTCATAGAATGATACAAATAACTTCAAAATTGCTTTTTTAATTGATTTAGGGTATTGCTTTATTTCTATATCGGTGTAAAACATCTGGAAATTATTCCGGGGGGGGGGGGGGGGGGGGGGTCAAATCACTCATTTAGAAACCGTTTAAAAGTACTGTTTGTGTACATGGTTCGCAAAACTAAAAAACTTTGGAATTGGGCAAGGAAAAGACTAAAATAACTTCATATATTAACAAATACATCTTAAAGTTTACATGTTAATATTTTACTTGTTGTACAACCTGACAGTTGAGATTACTGTAAATCCCAGCCGTTTCTAGCGTGTACAAAACATCGCAGTGTAAGTGATTTTCCCCTGACGTGTCTGCAGAGACGATTTTAAACATCTCATATGGAGGGATCAGTACTTCATCCTCATCCGAGTCGAACTCAGAGTAAGACTTCAGGTAAGCCCCAAAACATGTGTGTATTTCAAAGCAAGTCTTGTGTCCAAAGTGTCTCAGCTCTTTGTTTAGAGAACTCGAAGCGAAGGAGCCGAAGCGCATGGTTTGACCAGGTTTACCGATGAACAGCAGCCTGCTTCGTCTAAAGGTCGTGTAGCAGCTCCTTTGGTTGACTTTCAGGAGCCTGATGGCATCGGAGAGCAGGAAGTGCAGTGCATGAAATTCAAAAGACGTCCTGTAAGAGTCCTTCCCTGTGCGAACGGCTCGGTTTAGATCGGCGTAGGACCCTGCTGTGTAGGCACACAGAGCCCTGAAGTGATCCAAGGACAGCTCATCGTAAAAATCCTTATTACGCATGACTCTAAGGGCGCAAAGTCTGGTGTATGTGGTGTGAAGACCTTCCCTGGTGCTCCTTGGTAAGAGGCGCTTCACCTTGATGAGCATCTTCTCAGAGCAGCCATGATACATATCGTCAACAGAGTCAGGAGATAAACTCAGAGGTATTCCAGTGAGCTGCAGAGATGAGGGAAGCTGAACGGAGGAATTCAATGAAGGACCACTGGGTTTCTGTACAGCTGGCTGGACCAAGACATTCTGGGACTTTAGAAGATCTCCAGAGGCTAAATGTTTATCTCCGTGTAGCATTTGTTGAACATCAGAAGCATTGATGGGGACAGTCTTCTGCTCAGGCAACTGTAGAAGGACAATGATATAAAAAACATCTTAACAGAGCAGGATCAAGATCTATTGAGTCTACAAGTGAGGGAATGCAGTTGTCCCAGATTATTTGGTATTTTCAGCAAACTGTGGGATCTGTATTCTGTTCAAGTTCGTCACCTACTGTCTGAAACGCAAAAACTAATTTTTGGATGAACATGTACAACCAAGCACGTGGAGACAGTCTGATTCAAGATGGCTACCAAAGGCAGCTGCCTTCAAAACAAAAGACTAAAAGTCAACTTTTACAGACACTGGTCTAAACGTTAGCGTGGTAGTAGCTGAGCCTGATCTACAAACTGTACTTGAAGCACTAACAGAT